TTATACAAGACAAAAACAATAATTAAATTACTACATTACTAAAAATAAAAAACCATTCAACTAAATTAATGTGAAAAATTCAGATATAAAAAATTTATCTTTCAGGAGTGTTTAAGTGTCTCTATAGGAAAATGCTTGGTTCACAAACTCAAACTTCACAAATTTCACAAACTTACTATTTGTGAACTTTAATAAAGAAAATTAAATAGTCTAAAATAATTTTAAAATGATAATTTAAACTATAAATAGTAAGTTTGTGGAGTTTGTGATCATTCTGTTTGTGAACGTAGCATTGCTCGTCCCTATATTATAAATTTAGATAATTAGATGTACACTGTTACTCCGTATTATACATACATACATCATACGCACGTTTAGAAGTTACAAGGTGCTCAACTTGGATATTTATTTTAATTATTACGGAGTAATTAATTACAATAAAAAACACAAATAAGGATTTTGTTATATTCATACTTAATTTGGAAAAATCGGCCCATTTATGATTAGCTGATAGTTTTTCCCTTAAAAATGTTAGAGAGGATTAAATGGTAATTTACCTAAATATGACTAAAACATAATGTCTTTCTCAATATAGGATCATATGTTTTTATTTCTCAATGTAGGATCATTGGTCATTATTCAACTAAATGTGCAGCATCACTTGGACATTATTATCTCATTAGTCATTATTAAATCCTATTTAGGCAATGAAAAAGTTTAAGTCCTACATTGGAAAAAAACTTATGTTTCAGTCCTATTCTGTGCAAATTTCACCAAACTAAAATCTAATGGTGCAGTTGTCTACTCCCTCCGTCCCCCCAGTTTTTGTCCACTTTTGACTTTTGGAACTGTTCATCTAAGCATTTTGACTCATCAAATTCTCTCAATGTGTAAGCCTAAATATAGTCATGTGTGATCTTGTTTGATTTATCTTAACATATAGATTATTAATATATAATTTCTATAATTTTTTAATATACAAATTACAAGATAAAATGGATTAAACAAGTGCATTGGATGGTGTGTAAAAATGAAAGTGGACAAAAACTGGGGGACGGAAGGAGTATTTAACAAGAAATGAGTGCATTTAGTCGAAAAGGGTTTGGATTTAGTCACATCCCAATACCAATAAATAAATAAATAACAACAACAACAATATGAATAATAATATTAATAATAATAAATATTCTTATGATTTTGTTTCTTATGACGGTCACTTTACGACATCTAGCCTGACTTGTTGATGGTCGCTTTTACAAATGGACAAATTAAAGGCTCCTTGGCTAAATATAAACCACCATTGGTTATCCTCAGGGAGACACATGTGGCATTCTCTAAAGTCTCCATTCTCCAACTACCCTAAACACTAGACTACCAAGTGAAATTTAAGGAAGCGGTTAGGCACAGTAGGGTTAAGAAACTAATCTAATGACTAATTAAATTAGAGACTAAAATAGTGAATCATTTATGCACGCATTACACCAAACAAATGACTAACTAAATAGATAAATGCTAATATCATAAATAATGTTATCGCTAATCCATAACTTGTAATATAGTTACTAACAAGTAAAAAACCACGCATAATAATAAGGCAAATTATAATACAATAACTAAATAAATGAATAAGAGCATGTTAAATAAAGATTGTGCATTCAAACAGACAGAGTGACAACTTATATTGAGAAGAATCGCAAGCGGGTATATACTTTCCCAAACCGTACTTGTTTAAATCATCATTGTTCCTCCTTAGTCATACTTCTACGACTTTCTCTCCCAAAAGTCAAATCTAGATGAGTTTTGTGGAATTGATGGAGTACTTTTTAAATATATTTTGTTTGAGGATTGTCGAAATATTGGAATAATAATATTGCTCATGGAATTATAGAATACATGATAGAATATATATAGGAGAGATTCCTAACACAACTAGGAATAAAGAATGAAGTCTAACTAAAATACAACATCTACCACAAATAGGATTAGGAAGCTGACTAATAATGAAAAAATACCATAATCAATACTACCAGAAGTAATATTAGTATTATTGTCTAACATCCCCCCTCAAGTTGAACTCTGGCTGAAGCAAGAAGAAGCTTGGACACTAGCTGGAAACTGGAAACTTTGAGAAGAGAGAAGTTTGACATGCGCCGGTGGCTGCTCACGTCGTTGGAGAAGAGACAAGTCTGACGTGCGCCGGTGGCTGCTGACGTCATTGGAGAAGAGAGAAGTATGATGTGCACTGGTAGCTGCTAACGTCGTTGGAGAAGAGAGAGATTGACGTGCGCTGGTAGCTGCTGACGTCGATGAAGAAGAAAGAAGATTGACGTGGGCTGGTAGCTGCTGACGTTAAAGAAGAGGAGAGAAGGTTGACGTGCGCTTGTAGCTGTTGATGTCGAAGAAGAATAGAGAAGGCTACTGGAGGTGCCTGTTTGACTGAAGATCCTTGACATTTTTTGTCTTTTTTTTATCCGGGCAATGCCCTATTTCTTTCTTGAAGGGGTGTAGAGATATTTTTTTCTCTTTCACTACTTCCCCTCTTGGCTTTGCTTTTGTGTTATTTTTTTTTGGAATTTTTTGGGTAACAAAAGAGAAAGAGAAGAAAGATTGATAATTAGAATGAGTGATTTGAGAGAAAAAAAGGGGATGAGTTGAGAATGTTTTTGTGGAGTTGCCAATATTTAAAATTGAAGGTAGAATAACATCTGTCCGGCGGGCGGCTAATGGCGGCGCCGCCCGCCAGAAGTGAGCGCAGAGAGTTTTAGGTCACCAAGAGCAGTGGCTCCGATACCATGTTGAAAGAGTTTGTGAGGAGTTGAGTTTTTTTTGAAGAACCATGGAGATGACAAGAGAGAAGTTCTGCCTTTGATGGTTTTTTTGTATGATTTCAACAAGGTTGAGAAGAGAGAAGTTTGACATGCGCCGGTGGCTGCTCACGTCGTTGGAGAAGAGACAAGTCTGACGTGCGCCAGTGGCTGCTGACGTCGTTGGAGAAGAAACAAGTCTGACGTGCGCCAGTGGCTGCTGACGTCGTTGGAGAAGAGACACCGCTCTTGGTGACCTAAAAGAGTTCTTTGCTCCCACCGCCGCCGCCGGTAATTCCGGCGACGGCGGCTCTACCATATTCACCTCTGTTTTCTTTTCCTTCTTTTATCGTCAAATCAACGTCTCCATTCAAACGAAAAAAAGGAAAACAACCTTGTTGAAATCATACAAAAAAACCATCAAAGGCAGAACTTCTCTCTTGTCATCTCCATGGTTCTTCAAAAAAAACTCAACTCCTCACAAACTCTCTCAACTAATCCTATCTTCTCAAAAAAAGGAAAAAAAATGATAGTTGCTCTCCAATTCACCATATCAAAATCTCAAACCCCAAATTTTTTTTCCTTCACCAATTCTTAATCCACTTTTTTTTTCTCTCAAATCACTCATTCTAATCATCAATCTTTCTTCTTTTTTTCTTTTGTTACCCAAAATATTCCAAAAAAAAACAACACAAAAGCAAAGCCAAGAGAGGAAGTAGTCAAAGAGGAAAGAATACCTCTACAACCCTTCAAGAAAGAAATAGGGCATTGCCCGGATCCAAGAAAAAAGACAAAGAATGTCAAGGATCTTCAGTCAAACAGGCACTTTCAGCAGCCTTCTCTATTCTTCTTCGACGCCAGTAGCTACCAACCCACATCAATCTTCTTTCTTCTTCATCGACGTCAGCAGCTACCAACGCACGCCAATTTCTCTCTTCTTCAACGACGTTAGCAGCTACCAGTGCACGTCATACTTATCTCTTCTCCAACGACGTCAGCAGCCACCGGCGCACGTCAGACTTGTCTCTTCTCCAACGACGTCAGCAGCCACTGGCGCACGTCAGACTTGTCTCTTCTCAAAGTTTCCAGTTTCCAGCTAGTGTCCAAGCTTTCTCTTGCTTCAGCCAGAGTTCAGTTTGAGGGGGGATGTTAGACAATAAAACTAATATTACTTCTGGTAGTATTGGTTATGGTAGTGTTTCATTATTAGTCAGCTTCATAATCCTATTTGTAGTAGATGTTGTATGTTAGTTAGTTTCCATTCTCTATTCCTAGTTGTGTTAGGAATCTCTTTTATATATACTCTATCATGTATTCCATAATTAAAAGAAGCAATATTATTATTCCAATATTTCAACAAGGATCTATCAAAGTGTTTTTATAAAACATTCAAATTGTTTTTCAAGATTTTCATTTTATTCCCGAACCGTTTGGTTTAATGTTTGGAGTATAAAATTTTATGTTTGGATTTTAGGAAAAAAAGTTTAAATTAAGACACCTGGAACCACTCCGAATTGCATCTGTCCTGAAACAAATAAGACAAAGTAATACAAAAACTTCTTATACTCCGTATGTATGTTCCTTAAGATTTGACCCAACTCTGAATCTCTTTAACCGCAAGTGCTTTCTCTCCTCGTGCCCAATAGCTTCCTCCATGGCAAATTGTATCTAGATTAACAAAAACTCGACTGCGATCCAAAGCTAGGAAGCCAATACCCACCATTCCATCCACGTGTCCTAAAGAGAGTATTTTGAAATAGGGGAGTTCCGTTGACACTGACCCCACTTGACAGTATGATGTTAGTGGGATTTGAAATACCTGCACGGTTTCATTCGCAAAATTAATACTCCCTCCGTCCCAATTTATTTGCAACACTTCGAACGACGTGCAAAATATCATCTCTTTTAAAATTATTTTAATTTCAAATTGGTAGAGTAATAAAAAGTAAAAATTACACCATTCAAAAGTATATGAAAAGTTCTACAAAACAAGATGCGATAAGAATATTTTATTTTATCAAATGATCAACCAAAACGAGTAAACAAACAAAAGTTATCGAGATGTCATAATAATAACTGTGACATTCTTTCTGGACGAGGGAGTACCGGGCGTTGATAGGTAAGGGTGCCAAATGTCAAAAGATGCTGAGTCTAGAGTCTAGACCTATCCTCCACGACGATGCGTAGATACAGACAAACATGTACCTCACTCTCTCTCACTTCCCATTCTTCTTCTTCAAAAAAAAAAAAGACCAAAACCCTTTCTAAAACTTCAAATTCTAGGGTTTTTGCTCCTTGACAATCTCGCTCATGGCTTCGCCACACACACATGTATTGAAATCATCACGCTAGCAAGCTTTATTAGTCATCTTTCCCTATTGCGATCCATCGGAGAACATGAACTCAGATTTCGAGATGGCGGAGCTGCACCGGAAGCTGCAGCCGCAGAAGAAATTCACGGCGGGGCACGCTTCTTCGTCTTCTTCCTCGTCGGCGTACTTGTTCCCGTTAACCCCAAACCAGAACCTCCTCCAGCAAGTGAATCCCTTCCCCTTCTTCCAGGAGCATCATTTAATCCAGCCCTTCCCGGACCCGATTCGCGAGAACAGCATCCATCCCGTGGCGAGTAATGATAGTTTGCTCCATCATTTGAGCTTCAGGATGGGCCTGTGTCAGGAGGAGAGCCAGAGAAATGGCGAAGGAGACCGAGGCGGCGGGTGCTGCGGTGATGATTTGATGCAGGGAAATACGCGCGGTGGTTCTCCTGATGTGATGACTCAGTGTTGGGAAACTCAAGAAGATTCTGATCATAAAAACCGTTTCTGGTAACTCTATATTTATTAGTGGCTGTTATTTTGATTGTACCTACCTTAAATGTGTATCATATACTGATATACTCCCTATATCCCTAAAAGAACTTCCATTTCTTTTGTCTTCTCTCCCAAATTAGAGTTTCTCATTCCATTTAGGAAAAGAAAAATGTTTGGTTGAGATTATTTCTCTAGTCTGCATAATTTTCAAAGCAAAAGAAAACTTCTTTTTTTAGGGACGGAATGAGTAGGAAGTATGGAGTATTCTAAAGAAGTCACTTTAGTGTCAGCTACTTGTGTTGAGTAGATTTTTGTATAAGCTGTTCGTGTTGAATAGATTTTTGTGTCAATTGTTTGGGTAATTGTTTAGGAAAAAGTGTTTGCTGCTTGGATTTTTCTTTTGCAAAAAAGCTAAAAAGATTTTTTTTTTGTAAACCAGTCTTTTTTGGACCAAAAAGTTGTTCCAAGAAGCTCTTTCTGTTTAGCCAATCATTTGGCTAAAAAGAGATATTTTTGACAAAAAGATCCCGATAATCTCATGACCATACACCCCATTCGAAGTGCTAAAATTTATCTCTTGAGGAAGATGATAGATTGCAACATAAAGAAGCAGAGGATGATGGTGATGAAAGTAACAACAACAACAGCCCAGTTGAATCCCACTAAGCCACTACAGTAGGATCTGGGGAGGGTGTGTGTACGCAGACCTTGCCTCTACTCGGAAGTAGGGAGGTTGTTTCCAAGAGACCCCCGGCTCCAACTGCACAAAAAAATGATAAGAATCACAGTATAACACAGATAAAGCACCAAGTACAATGGAATGAAAGTCCTGCAAGCAATAGCAAAAATTTCCAACCAAACACAACACACTACAAAAAACCTCTGAAGCACCGGGCTCCTATCCAGCTACTCTAATCCTAGTTCTCCAAAGGTTCCTATCTAAAGCCATATCCTCAGGGTGAGAAGTCCTAAATCCTGCCTAATCACCTCCTTCCAATTCTTCCTAGGTCTACCCCTTCCCCTACTTCCCCCGACAACCGTAATCCTCAAGTGGACCATATTTAATGTACTTTTATATATAATACACTCAAGTCCATATTCATCAAATACTTGTTAAGAATATAAGTGGTGCAACTGCCCCATGGTAACCGAGCATTCAAATAGTGAATTTTGAATGGTAAACGACAAGTGATTCAAAAAAGTTTGCAGAAACATTCAAGATCAGATGTACTTAAAGTTATTGGCTATATTTTGCAAGACGAATTCAAAATATGACTTAAAACATAAAACTTATTGAGATCTAAAAGCTGAAAAGTAATTGGTTGAATTGGCAGTGTTTGATAAAAGTAGGAAAACCATGTCATTCTACATAACTCAAGAGTGTATAATGGAATTAAAATATGCAAAGGTTGCTGAAATTATTTCTTTGCTTAGTAACTTATCAAGTTTCTGTTGAAATTTACTATATCTAACATGACTACTTTCAAATGAGGTAAATGTTCCAGTCTTTAGTTAATTTTATGTCAAACCAGCTAGCTTATTTGCGTGCCAAACATAGCCATTATAATGTATGGAGTACAACGTAGTAAAAGAATTTGGATCTTTTTTGTGAATTGGGAAGAATCTGGACATGTTCAGGATTGATATAGCATTTCTCTTATTTTGTATAGGGAACAATGAGACTGAGAATAAGATTTAGTAGTTGGATAGGGCAGCGAAGAAAAATCACATTTGTCAGTTTCAAGTAGTAGTGATAATGATGCTGAGGTTGATGTATAGGCATATGAGGATGGATAAGATCCATAACAAGGTTATTTGGAGAAGGGTGAGAGCAGAACAAGGTTATCTGGAGAAGGGTTAGAGCAGTACGTGTGGAGGAGCTTGTGAGAAGCTACACTGAGGTGGTTTGGGCAAGTTTTGAATTAGGCCCTATAAGGAGATCTCAGGGGCTTGTGGTAGTAGGTGTGGGTAAAGGTAGACCTAGGAAGAGTTGGAGTTAGGTAACTAAACTGGACTTGTGACTTCTGGACCTTCTTTTTGATGGTCGTGGGATGGAATCAAAGGTGGAAGTAAGGATTGAGTTTCACCCAATGCCCAAGGTAGACAAGTTTCGGTATCTTGGCTCGTTCGCGGATGGGGAGTTGGACGGGGATGTTCTGCATCGTGTTGGAATGGTTTGGGCTAAGTGAAGGTTAGCATCACGGGTGTTGTGCGGTAAGAAGATAATTAGGGGTGTGCACAATTTGGTAAACCGACCGAACCGAACCGAAACTGAAAAATTTGGTACGCACCAAAACCGAACCAAATAATTTGGTTCGGTATTCGGTTCTCATATTTTGAAAAAATCGGTTTTTGGTTCGGTACAAAATTTGGAACCGGTATTTCGGTAAAAACCGAATACCGAAATTATTTAATACTTATGTATAATTTTACCCATTGCTACTCAATTCAATACCCAATATCTATCCCAATATTGAAATAATGAATATCCACCCCACTAATTTTAAGTCCTATTATCTAAATTTGGAGTTATTTAAGATTGGAAATCATGAAAGCATCAAATTAATAATACTGGTAAATGTTTTTATATTTTGGAATGGACAATTCTGTTATTTGTATCAACTATTTTGTTTAATTTATGTAATGGTTATAATTGTGTTGCTTTATTTTAATTTTGGAGTGTGTAATGAACTTATATATAATGGATTATGCTTTGTGATTTTCAATTTGGAGAATGAAATGGATTTTTAAAGTTCAAATTTTGGTTTATGTTCGGTTTTTGGTAAAACCGATTACCAAACCGATTTAATTTGGTTTTTACCAAACCGAACCATTTGATTCGGTTCGGTATTTGGTACAAAAAATAAATTACCGAAACTTCGGTTTACCGAATTTTCGGTTCGGTTCGGTTCGGTTTTACTGAATGAACACCCCTAAGAAGATTTCAGATTGGATGAAAGGTAAATTTTATCGGTTCGTTGTGAGACTAGCTATGTTGTATGATGCGGAGTGCTGAGCAGTTAAGAAAACCCACGTTCGCTAGCTGCATGCTCTAGAGATGCGGATGTTGTGCTGGGTGAGTGGAAAGACGAGAATGGATAAGATTCAGGACAAAGTTGACAGAGGACGGGTGCGCATGACAACTATATAAGATAAGCTACAAGAAGCTTTTTTGAGGTGGGTCGGTAAGACGACGGAGTGTTGACGCCCATTTGCAGAGATGTGAGAGGCATACGCTTGTGGGTGGGAGTAGGGGAAGGGGTAGACCTAGGAAGAGTTTGAAGGAGGTGACTGGACAAGATCTTGCCCTTCTTGCCTTTATTGCTGATATGACCTTAGATAGGAGCGTTTTGAAATCTAGGATTAGGTTTGTTGGGTAGACATTTTGGGCTAGGTGGTAGTTGCTGCATTCTTTGTTGTGTGCTTTGTATACTTGGTGTTCTTTGCTTGCAGTGCTTTCCTTCGTTAACTTTAGTTTGCTCTTTGCCTCTTTGTTCTTTGTGCTCTCCCTGCTCTATGTGTCTTCTGTGATCATTTATAACCTTTGTTGTTGTTGTTGTTGTGACTTCAGGACCTTACCGAGGTAGGATTAGAGTAGTGGGCTTTAGGTTGTAGTTTTTACTGGAGTGTTTTTATGCCTTGGTCTCTATTTTTAATGCTTGTTCAGTTGTGTGCATCTTTTGTCAATGCGCGTACTTCGTTCTTGCTACTGTGGTTTCTTCGTCCCTGCTTCTGTATTTGAGCGGGAGGGTCTCTTAGAAATAGCCTCCCTACTCATAGTAGGGGTAAACCATCCACTGACCCCACATTTTTATGTGATTTCACTAGGTCTGTTGTTGTTGATATTTTGCTCTACTTGGGTCTTTATTCAATCTGTAGGAAGCCCCTAAGCACGGAATCTCCAAATGGGAACGAGAAGGAAGGCCCCAAAGAAACAATCCCCGTGGAAAAGAAAAAGCAACAAGAAACGAGCGAAGAACCCAACCAAGAAACCATGCAGAATAATGCTAAAAGCAGCTTCTTCGACGGCGAGCTAGAAGCAATTTACAGGTGGGGTGACATTAATGCAGAGACTGCTCAAGCGACCGCATCTGACTCGGCTCTCACTGCAGAAGATGCAAAGGGGAGAAAGAAAAGGAAGAGGAGGAAATCGACGAAGGGCAGCGACGAGTATCGGTCAATGGTGGAATTCATGGAGAGGTCAGTGCAGAGGCTGATGGATCACCAAGAAGGCCTCCACAGCAAGTTTCTGCAAGCACTCGAGAGGCTGGACCGCGAAAGGGTTGGGAGAGAAGAGGCTCGGAGGAAGGAAGAAATGATGAATCTGGAGCGCGAAGCGAATGCTAGAGCTACCCAGAGAGCACTGGCTTCTTCCAGAGAGGCTGCCATTCTTTCCTACTTGGAGAAAATGACTGGCCAAAAGATCCCTCTTCCACCACTACCACCACCTAACGACCCTGCTCCCCCATCAGACAACTGATCAAGGCCGTGTTTGGTAGCATGAATTATTGTTTTACTTGAGTACCCTTTCACTTATTTGGCCAAACTCGATTTTCCTAAAAGCGTTTATATTCAGTTCAGGTCATTCAACAGCCAAATACTCATATTACCAAACGGGCCCTAAAACTCTGCGTAGACGGTCTAAAGCTACATTGTCTTGAAAACTTATACGGCCAGTGTGGGATAACATCAAAATGTTCAACAGATCAAAAAGAAAAAGAAAAATGTCATCCAGAGTTGGCCTTGGTGAGTGCTGATGCATGGGAACAATAAAAATGCTGTGGTTGCTTCAGAGGATCACTATGCATCTGTTTTTGGAACACCAGGTTAGCATGGTCTAAAAGGGGACTGAAATCCCTTTTCTACCCTTTTTTTTCTTTTGAAGAAAAAATGTACTATGTAGTCTGTGACACATTTTAGAGTATGGATTTTTTTAATGGTCCTTGCTGGCAACCAATTCTTAGCTATTACCCAGTAGTTTTTTAGTTAGCTTTATGTGTTGTTTGTACCAGTTATTTGTGTAAGTTAATTAGCAAAAAGAATTTGTGCAAGTTTATTAGCAAAAAAAAAGGTTTTTGATATAATGAGCAGTTTGTGTGAGATGTTTATGGGGGTGGGGTGGGGAGCTCAAAAATCTTGAAAGTGATTATAGCCTTAAATATCAAATTTATCATTCCACGTTTAATGATCAACTATGAAAGTCTTCACTTCTATCTCCCCTATTCACTTTATTTAACATCTATCATCCAAAGATAAATATAGAAAATCAATGGTTTTTTTATCAGAAACCGACTGCATTATTTCTCGAGTAGACTGAAATTATAGTTCTATTTCTCGGCCCGTACTAGAAGGACCTTGGGCGTTGATGTGCATATAAAATAGTCATTTTAATTATTAAGTAACTATCTTTATTTCAAATTAAGTTACATGTTCACTGTTCACATGGTCAAAATTTATATATCTTTTTTTTCTATATTTTTGTTACTCATTTGATAAACTAATATAGTGATGATCACCACTTGTTTCGTAAATTTTTTGATGAGTTTTTTAATATGTAAATTTTATATTTTAATTTTACCTCATTTCTCAAATAATCTGTATTGAAAATAATTTAGGTCAAACATCGTAAATTGAATCATTCTATTTAAATCGAGACGGATGGAGCATTAAAAAGCTCTCAAGGATAGGTTATGCTTACACTATCATAGCATTAAAATAAGTTCAATTAATCATTATTATTTGTAATGTGACAATTAATTCGCAATTGAAAAAAAAATACTCCATAGTTAATATAATTGGCCCCTTGGTCCTATCACGCTTCATTCGATCGATTTTTTGAATCTCGATCGGGTCTTTTGTTAATCACTAAGTCCGAAATTAGCCCTTATATTTTGCGGGGGCCCAAATCACGATTTGGCCCACTATTGGGGTTTTGTAGGCCATCGGCACGTGATTCACGTGAAACGCAGGCTGCATTTTGCCAATTGTTTTGTATCCCCTTCTTTCCCTCTATGTTTTCTCAAGATTTCTTTTTGTAGTATATGAAATTTTTTTATAAATTTTTAATTTAAATAAATTTTAAAAAAACATATTTTTTATTCTTAACCAAATAATTTCCACCCTTTAATTTGAACTGTTTTTCTAGTTTTGTGAAATCAAAGTGTTAGGTAATTGATTTGTAAAATGGAAGAGTATCTAGTAGAGACATGTACCAAGGGTACATAGGGGAGGGACACATATGTTCTTTTGTACAAATAATATTTGTTGTCCAATTATTTGGGACACTTTTACACTAATATCCTATTTCGAGAGAGGAAAGAAAATAACCATGGAAAATTTTGAAGCAGAAAATAAAATTATTTTCTCTTGTTTGGATATAATAGGTGAAAGCAAGATTTTTTTACCCCATTTGAGGAGGAAAAATAACTTAATATTTTTCATCCGTCTTTATTTTTCTTCACTCTTCAAAACATGATTTATCCCTTTTAACTTCTCATTTTCCGGCTAATATTTTCTTTCCTCTCATACTTCCCCCCCTTAAAAAATATTTTTATTTTTCCTTTATATATAGTTTCCCCCCAAAAATACTATCAAATTTTATTTATTACGAAAAGAAATACTCCGTAATTTTTATATTAATTTTTTCCATGTTATCTTATTTTTTAAAACTTCATGAAAATCAGCTCATAACAATTATTTAGGGATGAAGTAAGTACTCCATATTTAATTCCTAAAAAAGCAAACCTAAGAGCACTTAAAATACTAATGAAGCCCCGAGGTTTCAAATTGGAACTTCAAACCTTCTCTCTGTCATATCAGCTTTAACCTCCTTTTAACTTACATCATAAATTCACTCGATATGGGTTTGAAGCCTCGGACTTCAAACTAGAGCTTCAAACCTCTATTTTTTACATTTTGAATACACATTTTGTAAAATTAAATTAATAAGATTTTATTAATTAATTGAATTTAAACAACAATAATTCATTAAATAAAAAGATTACATTAATAAAATAAGATTTAAATAATAACAACATAAATAATAAATAAAAATTACATTACATTACAAAGAAATTACTATTTATTTGAGTAGCTAAAAATATCTTCAATCAAATCCTTCGTTAGTGCATTGTGAATCTCTCGCCATTTTTTGAGTATTTGGTCGAGAGAATTAAAAGAAATAAAATATATTTTGGAGGAATTATAGAGAGAATGAAAACATAGTGTGTGTAATTTTTTTAAAATAAGGGGTATTTATAGTTGAAAAATTCAAAATAATTTTTTTAAATTGCTCAACGGCCTTAATTTGGACCATTGGGGAGAGGGGGGGGGGGGGGGGGGGGNCGTTTAATGCAAAATGTTTAAGGTCCAGATGACGGTGGAGGGAGACGGTGTTTAAAGCCCCCCTCCCAAACGTTAAAGCTACCTTAACGCCGATGGACGTTAGGAGCATTTCCATTGCTCTAATAGTCACACTCCAAAAGGGGGCTATAGATTTGAACCGGACCCAACTTTCATTTGTAAAGAGGATATCTTAGCTTAGCTTCCTGCTAAAAAGGAGATTGAAACTTTTGTAGAACAAGGACACACCAGTTTGAAAAAACATGTAACGGTTAAAAATACTCCTTCCATCCCTAAATAAAGTTCCTCTTTCGTTTTTTCTTTGTCCCTAAATAAACTTCTCTTTTCCCTTAAAAAACCCTTTTTACCCCTTACTTTTTCATACCCTACCTATCACATCATACCTTTTTACTAATAATCTACCTATCACATCTTACTTTTACACATCACATCAAGGGTATTTTTGGAAAGTCAACACAAAAATATCCCTCCCTTAAATCCTCAAAAAGTCAAAAATGGAACTTTATTTAGGGACGGAGGGAGTATTTGATATTGAAATGTTTTTCAAAAAAATACAATAATATAATCTTCACTCGAAAATATTCAGAACAATATTAGGTTGTTAATATCTTCTCGATACCGTACTTTCAATTCACTCGTACCCGTTTTGGACCGTAACAGTACGTATTGAAAATTATATAGTACAGTTGGATGCACTTTATTTCCGCTTGGTACGTCATGACCAACATGTAATTAAACAAATATTTCAGAACGAACGCTACGTGTTTCAGAATGATGAATACATTTTAAAATGAACTCTACGTTATTTCAGAATAAACATTTGCTAAACACGCACTACAGTTGAAAGTGAACACACTATTAATCGGAGTATTATTCATCGGGTGTACATGACTCTCTGCACAACCAGATATACGGTATACATTCTCCCGTAGTATATGGCCAGAATACCAATAATGGTAATTAGTCATTTAATTGAAGATATATAAAAATCCTAAATTTTAGATTTTGCTAGTATTACTCATTATTTTAATGTGTCAGCTCATTTTTAGCAGGTATGATGATATATGCATACGTGATAGACATTTGATTTGGATTGTATTTCTTGATAGACTTTAATTGTTTTAAAAGTAACATCAAAATTAAATTTATTATAATTAATCCGTATGTGTGATTTGGTTAGTACAGACATAGGGTATTTAACGGAAAAATACACCTTAATAGTGACTGACTGACTGTTAGTGAGGCCCTGCTAAGATTGTCACATATATTCTGAGCTTAAGTATGACTTGTCGTTTGATAAATGTAATGTATGATAACGGCAAAACAACCTAAAAGAGTTATGGTAATCAACTTTCTTAATAAAGAAGGTTTATCAAGTTTAATTTGTGACAATTATGCATTCACATTGTGAAACAATCAAAATATTCAATTATTTGAGGTCTTATAATAAAGTATAAATTGCAACCCTTGAAATTAAATTGTTGGGTGAATTAGAGCACGTCCAATGCTAGGCATAGATTGCTATTTTTTTCTAATCTACGAGCTTGTTGTTTTCGATTTATTCTTATTATTTATTATTCATTCTTATTAAAATTAGATTAAAAATAATTTTAAATATAATTACAATCAGATCAGACTAGATCAAATCAAAATTTATCTCATTCAAATAAGAACTAATCAGATCAGACGAATAGAACAATTATTTTAATGGTTTTCACATTATTTTAAAATTGTGGAAGACGAAGAAAACCAATGAGATCAGACGAAGAGAATCAATCAGAACCAATCATGTATAATGGTTTTCACAATTATTTTAAAATGAAATGGGATATTAGCATTGCAGATGAAAAATAATGCTTTCCTCGTCGTAGAGTATTTTCAAAGTTTTGGTTTTTTACAATCAATTAGGATCGACTTTTGACATATGATAGATGGATAATCAATGTCATAGGATGACTTATGGTACCTACGATGCTCCATTTAAAAAATTGACGGTTCCTACCTTTCTGAACCCCCTGACAAAACCCCCACACCGGGTTGACCCGGGCCCACTTCCCCACCCCCTTCAAATTGCACCCCGCAAAATTTAATTGACTTTGGAATCAGATTTTGCCAGGCCTAGGTGTTAGTTGGTGCCAATTTCCAAAATCACAGGGCGCAACGGAGCTACTCACCTAATATCCGATGGATATTTTTATCCACGGGGGCATTCGGGTAGCAATATCAGAACTATGGGAGACAACACCAATAGTTTTGAAACCATAGAAGGTAACGATGCACAATTTCCAAACCACATGGGAGATTAACTTTGATCGTTCCTCCCAATATATATTACTCCGTATTGAATATTTTCTTACTCCATCCGTCCCAAATTATTTGCAACGTTTGCTTTTTCAGCAGTCACGTGAATTTTTGTTTATTTCTACGTTTTCATTGGTAATTTGATAAATAAAATATTCTTGACACCTCTTATTTCGAAGAACTTTTCATGTAGTTTTTTTTATATGTAAATTTTATTTTTTATTTCTATACCATTATGTAAATAAAATAAATTGAAAAAACTTGATATTTTACCTCAGGAATAAAAGTGTGGCAAATATTTAAGGATGGTGGGAGTATAAGACCTCCTCATATTCCAAATTTCCAAGCAATTAAGTGTGCTTTTTTCATCGTCTTGGGATTTGTGAAGTGGGATGCAAACAGAAACTGAAGGATTATGTTG